TGCATGTACGTGTCACGTGCCTGCACTCGGGTTCGTGGCTCCTATCTGGTCTTGGGATTCCTTCCTGGCATCTTTGTTTCCCTAGCCTTCCTGCAAGCAAAACCCGGGATGTAACAGATGCACCCCTACCAGCCAAAGTTTGATCCCCTGGCTTGAGTGAGGCACGGCCGACAGGAATCTATAGAGATTTTTGCTCAAGAGAATGGGTGCCCTTCTGTTGTCGCTTTGCTAGCGGGCTTTGACTTTTAAGTTGGGTGAATACGTCCTTAACTCTACATCCGACACGCTGAACTCGAAACCTCGACAATACCATACACAGATCAAGCCTGCCAAGGGCAGTGCCTGGGAAGGGCTGCGCATGAGCAGGTTCAGCACGGACACGATCTCCTCAACACTCGCCTGGTCGCAAATTGCATCTAGGAATCTACGAGCCAGAAGGAGCCAGAGACATCAAGCCAAGACCCCCAGCCCCAGAACCCCCACTTGTAGTAAGTCCCTATATAACCCATTATAATAGTTTCTCTTTTCTTTTCGATCTTTCCTATACAACCCCTATATGACCCCAATATATCATGTAGTAGTTTCCATTCTCTTGTCCATTATTCCTGTACAACCCCTACATAACCGCTATAATAACCACACAGAGCTGGGCAGCCTCAAGCCTTTGCCACTGAAGTCCAAAAACCCTAAAGCTTTGGGGCCTGGTTCAGGAGCACATCGCAACCGACGAACACGTCTGGCTGAGCAAACTCTTGCAGGGCCTCCTGTCAAGACCATGGCAATGCAATTTTCGTCCGAGCTGCGGGCCTAATGAGCTATGTAATTACGAGGTTCTGCGGGGTAAGGTCGGATCTTTGTTTGAGTAAGTAACCATAGTTTCGGAGATAGGGGGCTGAGGCTAGGCAATGAGAAACAAGCTTGCGCTGAGGTTGCGGAGGTGGAGAATCAAGATGAAGAGCCATACATGAGTCCCACTTCCCACATACAGAAGTCCGGGGTCCCAAATCAAACCACTTTCTCCTCCCCTCCCCTGGAGTCTAAGACCAGCACTCCTAAGTCATCCAACCTAGAGACCCACATGATGTTACCATCCCAATCAACAAGCCTCTATGAGTAATGATACTATGCTTGAGCCTTTCCAGTAGCCGTACCTGTCCGGGAAAGCCGCGAACAAAAAAGTGCCACCTGCTTAGCTGGAGAGCAAAAAACCTAAGTGCTTGAACCCTAAGTGCTCGAAGGTCCGCAAAGGCTTTGCGTTTAGGGTTTAAGGCTGGCGCAGTAGCCAAAATTTGGAATCCGGATATGACCTGAGGGAAAACCTTCCTCTCCGCTTATGAATGTTCCCCGCGTGCTCTCGTGTCGGGGAATGTTTATCTTTAGCGTGTAGGGCGGGGGCTTATCAAACCGACAGGATTAACGCGTAGACCCAGTTTCTGTTGGCAAAGCTCAAAAGCTTGCTTTGAAAAAGCAGAAAATATCTAAATCCGAACAAAAAAGTTGCTAACTCCAAACATTTCGTTGGGATACAGTAGCACTGTTCAATCTCCACAAATACCTGAGCCATTAGCCGCTTTTTGGGTTCCCCTTGACTCAAAACTTAAAACCGCTTGAGGTAGCCGTCGGTGCCTTGCCCGCCGCAAGCTTCGCCGGCAATTCGCCGTAGTCGCAGCGCAAGGTCGTGATCCAAGGTGCCACGCCGCTGCGCACGGCTGTCTCCTTCTCCCGACCGAATCGGTCTTTAGCAAGGGATATACCATAGAGGATGCTAGGAGCCCTAATATCACGCAACGTATGCTACTTCATTAGGGATATTGAGCTCCCTGGATTCTGGGCCCAGCTAGAATTGAGAGCTGCCTAGGATTGGATTTCAGGCTCTGGGGTTTAGGGTTTGGTTTGTGTAATTAGAGCATGTAGGGTTTAGGACCTCGGCAGCTCAGCTTTTCTCGATTTCTCGAACCTTGTCATAATAGGAAAGTAAGGCTGTGTTGTTGGGGCAGCCAGCGCTTGCACGGACCATAAAGATAGCCATTGCTTGAGAAAAGAAATTCTGTAGATTTGTTTTCACAAGATGTTCGTATAATCTGTAAACCGTCCAGGAATTCTGCGCAGGTTGTATTCATCGCGTAGGAAGGCAAGCACAACTATGAAGACACTCTCTGACATCCCCCATATACCCTTCGCATCTATATAATATCCCCTATATAACACCCATAAAACCCCTACATAACTCCTACATAAATCATACTTTTCTTCTCACGCGGCCGAGTCTCTACAGCTTGCCTAAGACACGCAGGGTCTCCTTGGCAGTCGATCTCTTCAAGTGGGTCAGGCAAGGAGGACGTGAAAGTTTTGTGGTGGGCTCGAAAGCAGGTCTAGCAGCATCCCAAGGCAAAACAAAAACATCGCACACGGCACAAATCCAGACCGCCCCCCCATAACATTACTGTACTATGGTATATGCAAATACATCAAATCATAGACTGAGGCTTGAAGAGTGCGCTGGTGCAAAGTGTTGGGCCTTTGCCCCAGCTGGCTTGGTGGGCAGTCGCATCAGGGACAGAGAAGTGGGTGCGGGAAGCATGTAGCGAGCCAGTCATGTGGAGCAAGATGTCCTTTGTCATACATCAAAGGTAAACCTCGCATTTTTTATGGACAAGAATGACTGCGCTGGCCGATGAAATCAGGGTTCCTGGCTTGCTTTACTGTCCAAAAACAGGAACACCGTGAAATATCTTTGATTTCAAATTGTTGGGTGTCAGGGTCCTTCAAGGTCCGAATTGTGGGCGCCTAATATCGGCCATTAGCCTGCTTGAGGGGATTCTAAGATTCGTCACTAGTGCCGCAACGCTGAACTCCACACCTTAATCCTTAAACCATATCTCCCCATGCCCGCAAGCCTAACTATCCAAACTACAAGCAACCACTTTAAAGAAGAAAATGGAAACTACTATAGTATATGGGGATAATAAGATCCCCTATAATCCCTGTAGTTTCCATTTGCTTTTCCATTATCCCTATATAACGCCTAGATTACCCTATATTATCCCTATATTAAGACAAGAGTCGGTCTTGTAGCAGCACGGCCCGTGCGCCGAAGCCCGCGCAGCTTACACCACCAAGTCCCAGGCCCGCCCCAAACTCCAGCACGTTGAGGCCTTGCGTCTTATACGATAAAATGATATCATAATACAGTATACTTTTGTTATACAAGTAGTGTACTACCACTTAGTATATGATGGTATATTATGGTATGTTTTCATATATTCTAATATATTATAGTGAGGCCTTGCCGATTCAAGGTCTAGGCGGTTTCGGAGTTTAGGGTTTGGGGCTATCTCGGAGGTTGGGGTTCGTGAGTTTGTGGCTTAGATTAGGGTTTAAGTAGGGTTGAGGCTTGGAGATTGTGAGCCCTAAGCCCTAAGCCCTAAGCCCTAAATCCTAAACCCCTAACCCCTAAACCCTAAGCCCTAAACCCCTAAACCCTAAGTCTAAGGCTAGTGGTATCGGGCTCCTCAAGGATGCCCGCGGATCATGATCAAGTTGCTGGAAGCTTTCAGACTTGAAGGCTTGTTTTTTTTTTGTAGTGTTGAAGGAGAATCGTCCTGGCGCGCATTGACCCACCACCACTGCAAGGCGGCTGCTAGATTTAGACCCTAAACCCTAAACCTGAGTTCTATGAGACGGCCTCCAGTCCTTGCATACGCCCTTCTGAGGGGTTACATAGGGAAAATGGAAAAGAAAATGGAAACTACTATAGTATGTTGGGGTCATATAGGGTTCAGGGTTAAGGAATCTTTTTCATGTCACCTTGTCAGACGTTCCAGGTATGGGCTTTAGCCATGCCTCAGGAAGAGGAACAAAACTCAAACTTTATTCCTGAGACAAAAAAAGGAAGGCCAAAAAAGGTTAAAGCTCTCCTATCGGCTAAGTAAGTACGTGATCCCCGCGCCCGAACTTAAAACGCCTCGCCCCACATACTGTGAAGTGTATTCTCATTGTGGTATACCATATTTTATAGGGAAATTTTACTGGTAGTGGACTGGGGGGTTACAACAAGAAAGCCAAGACAGCATGATAAGCCGATTCCAGATGGCGACTCCTGAACATCCCCCAGAACAAGTTTATGGACTTTGGGCTACAATTTTACCACCTTTTGGGTCCATGTACTCCAGGTTAAGGACTCTTCCATATGTAGGGCTAAGATGCCCAAACATGTACTATGACCCCCGGATGCCTGTAATCCCCAAGTTCTGCGAACCAGCCAGATGTTCGTAGAAAAATGGTGCTGCTGGCCTTCCATAGACACCACGGGTGGCTGAATGGCCAGCCATCGAGCCTCAAGTGGCAACGGGGGCTACAAGAATGAAGATCCTTATGCTGGAGGACGAGACAAAAGGGTGCCTTTGAAGACCCTGTAGTTTCCATTCTTTGTCCCTATGTAGACCCTAATATACCATAGTAGCTTCCCTTCTAATTTTCCATTATCCCTATATACACCCGATTATACTATAGGGATACAGAAGGAATGGGGCTTACACGCGCACGCTCGGGACCTATAGAAGGGTTTAGAGTTTAGGGTTATGAAGGGTAGGAGTTGAGATAAACGACACTTCTTTGGCAAGTTAAGAAGCACCTGTGTTATCAATAGTTCCAAGTAAAAGTGACTATAAACAATTACCCAAGTATCGTGATTACACACAATAATGCTGCTTCAGTCAAGGATTGCTGGGCCCAAGTATCGCAACGTTGTCTTTCCCCACTAACTGTTGATAACCTTGAAATATTTCTCTGGCTGAAACCCTACCTGCCATGGGCCATGAAGGTCTGACCAAAGGCTTTAGAAGAACAATCTGCCAATCCCAAAGCCCCAACACCCAACTCTCAACTCTGAACCCCATGCTCAAACCCCTGTATCAGGCCACTGAACCACTCACTTGTTGAAACCTCCAACCTCAAACTAATCCTGTATACATTCGAAGCCCTGAACACGCTCCTGCTCGCAAATTCCAAGCGAGGTTTCGAAAAAAAATAGGGGTCTTGTTTTGGGGGCACCCATCTTTATGAAAGACACCACGTTGGAAGTACTGAACCCCCAACCCCCCCCTCACAGATTCTAAATTCTCCGAGACTCCAGAATTATCGACGCCGGCCTTTGATCTTTCTCGCTGCATGATCCATGACCGATTAACTAAGGATTTCACATAATATCATCCAAATAATGAAGAATCAAATGGACAAGAAAACTGGGATGGTAGGGATTGAGGGTTTAGGGGCTTGGCAGACTTCTTACAGAACACTACATAATGTCATCTATAACTGGAACTACAGGGGCACAAAGGCTATGACCTGGCTGCAACTTGAGCGCTTTTTTTACCCAGATGAGTAATGAAAGCTCAAGCTTCTAGGGATCTGGGTTGTCCGCTCAGTCATTCAGCTGTCTTTGGGTACCCATAGAAAACCATGCTTGAGCCTGAGACGGGATTCATGCATCAGAGACGCCTTTCTGATTTTTCATGAGAAACACAGCAGTTTATCATAAAATCATACTGACAACAATCCCACCCAAAATGAGAACCCTAGGAACATCCCATGACTCTAATAATTCCTCTTATGACGTGAAATGAGAAGTAAAGTCTTCGGCAAACGCAAGAGGTCGCATTAAATCCTTTCTCCACCTCAGCCTAAACCCTAAAAACATTAAGCCCTAAAGTCTAACCCCCAAGCGGCCAAACAGTATCGCCACCCTGGAGGATGTCAGTGGTAATGTTGGTAACCTCAGGAGAGCCACCTTAGCCGCGGACAAAAACTTTGAGGGTCATAGGGCCTGGGTAAACAGATTCATAACGGAAGAGAAAAATAGAAGCTACTACAGTATATGAGCTATAGTCTAA